TGTCGTTGGTAGAAAACATTTTTATAAATTAACAAGACTACTCGTACCAGGGCGAAACCCTGAATGTTCCGACTGCCGTTTAAGGTTTATGGAGCAGTAATAACATTAAAAAATTCAATGAAATAAAACAAAATCAAAAATAAAATTCTAAAATTTGAATTTTTTAAATGAAAATCATCCCCCCACACGCCATACAAAGTACGAAAGGATAGATTTCGCTCCTTGTAACAAACCAATTATGGCACATAAGCTTCTTTTAACCAATTTGGAACGATTTCTAAGGCGGATTAACTCTCCGCTTACGCGTTAATAGCGCGAAATATATCGCACGTTAATTGTCCCAAATTGGCCAAAATGGCAATCTTTAAACCCCCATAACTTTACGAAAAATGATTACAGGTGAAATATCTTTTCAAATTTGAGCTCAGGGCAACAATACCTTTTGAATGATAAAAAAAATCCGTCAAAAATGGCTAGTTAAAAAGTCGAAATTTGTCTGAAGAAAAAAAAAACCCACCCCGAGCACAAATATTCCGTTACTTTCGTATCGAAAGTCGGAACAATAAAAACTTTTAACAAATTTTGATTTAGTTGCACTGGAAAATTGACTGAGAAAAACAAAAAAGGAAACTTATTAAAGTTCCTAGTTTCGATTCTCAGCTTTTTCTTAGCTTTCACTCGAAAGCTGTAACATCTTGTGATGCTTACGAAACCTTTTGGCCCCCATAACACGTAACTTACGGGCTCAGCCAAAAAAGCCAAAAAAACTTTAAAATTACATATTTAAAACTGACATTTTAATCCCACTGGCAGAAAAAATGGTCAGCAACATGTCTCAATCTTAGCATTGAATCTCTGGTAGTCGAAGAGTAAAATGCAGAAACTTTTCGTTTATTTAGCTCCTTGAAAACTAAGAGTCGCAACTTCGATCCCTTGGTCGAATTAGAGTTTTATGTTTAAACTCTGTAAATCTGAATCGATTGGCGTGGTGACCAAATTTTCATAATTGCAACGCAGGTCAAAGTCTGCAAAGTCTAAACATAAAACTGCAAAATCTGACCATAAATTTGCAAACTCTGAAAATAAACCCTGTAAAGTCTAAACATAAGTCAGCAAAGTCTGCAAAATAAAATCTGCAAAGTCCGATCATAAAGTCTGCAAAGTCTATCATCAGCAAAATCTGAACATAAGTCTGCAAAACCTGAAAGTAAATTTCCAAATTCAGAACATTAGCTTTCATAATCTGAAAAAAGTCTGCAAATTCTGAACATAAGTCTGCAAAATCAGAACATAAGTCTGCAAATCTGGACATAAAAATTGCAAAGTCTAAACATAAGTCTGATAAGTCTTAACGTAAAGTCTTCAAATTCTAAACATAATACTGCAACTTAAACATAATAAGGCTCAACAGCAGCTGATTTTGAAAAAAAAAGTGTCGTTTAACCTGAAATTATATAAAACAGTTCCTTTCAATGCCTTTAATTCAGAAAAAATCAGTCTGAGAATGGAATGAAGTTTTTTTCTTACAGAAAAATCAAAAAAATAAATTCTTTTACAACCAGGCACATTACAGAAATAATTTATTATAAATTCACAATTTTGGTAGCGCGATTCGAATGGTCATCGTAAGGCTGCAAGCCTGTTTGTAGTTGTCTATCGAGAGAAATTTGGAGAATCAGAGTCCATGTTTTTGTTTGTATCCGATTGAAACCTAAAGTTTTGCATAAACCGTTTCTGTTGATGTAGATCTAAAACAAAAAGACCAAGGATTTTTATTTATGGTTTCTTAATATGAAAAAAACTAGTTACTCGACAAAAAAAACTTAATTTTGACCAGAAAACTTTTGAAATGAAATCAGTATCATTTAGATAAAGGTCTCTGATTTAAGAAAAAAATGTCTAATTAAGTTGCTGGGCATTGCATTACATTTAACAAAATGTTTTATTCTAATTTAATAACCTTATTGATAAAAAAGCTTAACTAGCCCACTTATTTTTTCTTAAATTTATTCACTACAGATCGCGTTTGTTTTGTTCTAATCCGAGTGTCACTTAAACAGTGATTAATTATTTCTTTTGATGTTATGAAATTATTCACTTCTGTACTCGTATGTTCTTTTCTTTTTTTTCTTAATAGTTTTAAGACTTCGTATGTAGGTAGCTCAGAGATTGAATAATTTTTTTTCACCTCGTCGATCTTCCTTCATCAATGATTTTCCTGTTGATTATTCTCTTTAAAATAAGATTGTTATTTGAGTAGTTTTTCTAGATTCGTTTTTGAGCTGCAGCCATAAATCAGTATTCTAATTTGATAAATTGGTTTTAACTAGCTTTTACTTACTCTCAGTAGTTGTTTCACCGATATCGTTTCTAGTTTGATGGAGAAATGAAATGAATTTTCCGCATCTATTTTCACATGTCGGATATTTCAGTGAAACTCAAGTTGCGATCAAATTGAACTCCTAAAAATCGATCATCATTTTCTGTTTTCGAGACATTTTCTCGAAGTTTCATTTTTAAATTTCTTTGAGCTAAAAACAAATGCTTTGTTTTTTTCTTGATTCATCGTAAGTTCACTTTTCTATGTTGTTCGCGTTTCTATGTTTCAATGTTGTTCAAACCTAGATCATAATTTTCTTCCGAAACTTCGCCCTATACAATAGTATCATCTGCAGGAAGAACCACGTTGGTATTTATTGGAATCCCGGGGAGATCATTGATGTAAACTAGAAATAGAAGTGGACCCAGAGCTGATCCCTGAGATAACCCGCTTTTTATTTTATGTTAAGTACTCTTTGCTTGATTTATTTGAACAAAGTGGTAACAATTCTCGAGATATGGTTTAAGCATCAAAAATGTTTAACCTCTACGTCCGTACTTTAAGCACTTTTGAAACCAAATTTGAAGGTTCACAATATCAAAAGTTTTCGGTCAATCACTAAGGTAAAACTAATTTTCTTAGTAGACAAAAAATTCTCAACTGTTTCGAGAAAATCCAGAGTTGCATCAACTATTGATCATTTTGACAAGAAATCTTTCTGTTTGTTCAAAACCACTTCATGAAATCTAACAAAACTCCAAAATGATTGTTTTTCAGTTACCTTACTAAAAACTGGTAGAAGTGATATTGGCCCGTATTTTAAGTTCGTGTCTTTTTTTTCACTTTTGTGAATGGGGAATAGTCTTAGCAAGTTTCGAACATTCCGGATAAGACCCTTCTCCAAGTATTCAAAAAAATAAAACTGTCGAGGTTGAAAAGTTTGCTGGACTATTTGTTTTTTTGATAAATTTTGAGAGTATTTTGCAATCATGGTCTTTTTTGGTTTGCAAACTACCAATGGTTCAAAAAACTTCTTTTTCTGCCTTTTTAGATAAATAACATGTATTCTTTACTGTTCTTACGGTTTTAATTTTGCACTTAATTTTAAAGTTTTAGCTGGTTTTGGTCAAATGTCAACCAACAAATTGATTTAAAGCCTCGACTAAAATATTAATCATGTTGCATTGTTCATCTGCGTCTTTTTTTTTACTGTTGGCTCCACACTGTTGACGAACTCAAAACGATTTGTTGTTTCTGTTTGTGACTCATAAAATTTACTAAGCGAGTCTCTTACCATCAATTTAACTTTTTACGTTGTTTTTGTGTATGTTTTTTTGCGGCTTGTGTAGGATTTTGTAGAAAACTTTGAATAATATGTGTTTTTTCCTACTTCACGTTTGATTTCATAGGAAATATAGATTTTGGTATCTCTTTTGCTTCTGATTTAAAGCTGACCTAATTTTGTCCAGATCATTTTGAAACTGATTTATAAGTAGAAAAAAAGCCTCGTTGAGGGGTATATACAGAAAATTCCCTTCAATTTTTTAATATTTTACAAGTAAATTTGCAAGATATGGGGAAACCAAGCCATCCACACTAACAAACATTCACTTGCTTTAATTATACAACCAACTATATAGCATAATTAATCTGTTGCAATTTCACAATTTACGGGATTTTCTATTTAATCTTTTCACCCTCATTGGCTATAAAAAATAACAAAAATTATGAAATAACAGTTCTACAACAAAACGCATAAAAATTCTGTTCTCATAGAAAACTTTCCCTCAAATAACCAGTCGATCTAAATGAGCTTTTATTCCGTCTCAATTCCGGTCATTTTTTTCAAAACTATTCTTCAAAGTTTTTGAATGTCTTTTCAAATTCAAAGTTAAATTCATTTGAATTTCTGAAAAAAAAGGCCTACATAACTCGGCATTTGCCTGACACATGCTTTTAGATACTTTTTAACAATCAGAGGACAAGTTATTAAAGCCGATTCACCAGGGCACAAGATATTGGATTGGACGATGCTACTAATTAAATAAAACTAAATTTAGACTTTAATTTTTTCTGCATAACTTGCATTTTGGTTCAATATCAAAGTTCTTACAAAAATTTTTGCTGAAAACAACTTTTTTTTATAAAAAAGAGTAATTTACCCCCTAAATGATCGAAATAGTTAGTTTTAAAAATTTATAAAAACGCTATCGAAATGCATAAACTAATTAATTGGGAAGTGTGAGAAAATGATTTTCAGGAAAAACAGCTCAAAAGATAGCAAAACGTAATCTGTCAACAATTTTCAGTCACGCTAACAGGTCAATTTTGTCTTGTTTCCTATTTTTGTAAGTTTGCATTAACACCTAGTTCCGTCTTAGGGCACTATTAACCTATTTGTTGTCTGATTTCTTTAGCCCCTTCACCAGTTACTGTTCACTGGGATTCTGAGAAAAATCGTTACCATGAAAACAAATCCTGAGATCTGGCGTGATAGCAAACTAATGATGTTTGCCGTTTGTAATGCTTCAAATTTATTGCAATCTGCCGCCATCAAGATCCAATTATTTGCAATAAATAATAAATGCAATTTGACTGGACAGTTTGAAAGCCATATGTTACTAATGAACTAGTACGCATCAGAAAAAGTATAATTTTTTGTTGCATAAAAAACAAGTCTTTTTCAGCAAAAAAAAACACAAATACAGTTAAACAAAATGCCGTTTTGTTTTCCTAAGCAGCTGTGCAAAGCCTGAAATAAATTATTTACATGTTTGGAATTTTTCTCAAAACGATCACAGTTAGAAAAAGTGTTTCATCAATTTATTTGATTTTTAAACGCTACATCAATTGCACTTTAAATCAAGTACATACCACCCAGATCAAAGTATGGAATGCCCTATTTGCACCGACCAAATCAAAGATCCGAGGGCTTTACCGTGTGGTCATTGTTATTGTGGGCCTCAAAAACCCTGCCTGAACAAACTACAAAATCGCCCAGGATTTTTAGCATGTGCAACTTGCCGGATAGAACATCAAATGCTTATATCTCAAATAAAACCTCTCTATGGGATACGCGAAGTTTTAGAAAACCATGCTCAAGAAAAGCAAAAACTCCTGGGTGAATTGAAAAAACTGACCAAGGAGAAGGAAATGATGAGAAAGAAAACTGTTTTTACGCCACCTCCGTGTAGCAGTGAAAATTGCTCGAACACCGTTGATTTTTGGTGCAAAGATTGTCTGATTGCTTTTTGCGATGACTGCTCAGAATCAAAACATTATCGTCATTCGGTCTCGAGTTTTATAAAACATCTGCAAGATCAATTGCAACAAAAACTGGGCAAAAGTACAGACATTCAATTGAAGAATTTTATCAGTAACGGTTAGTAAAAAGCAAATATTTATAAAAAGTTTTCAATTAAAATAAAAGTATCATATTATTTTCTAAAATCCATCCTGAAAGAAAAAAAATATGGACAGATCAAGCTGATAACTAATAAGAGATACAAAAAAACTGTTAAAATTTTTTTAAATGATGCCATTAAAATCAACTGAGAACAACTCATTAGTTTAAAAATGGCGGGATAAGTCTCCGGGGCTGCACAACTGCCTCTCAGCTAATCTTTCAAAGTTTTGAAAATCTTTTATTGACGACAAGTGCTTTTCAACGCCAAATTAATAACAAATTGAAAGTTTTTCTACTTGAACTTCTAAATGAAATCTAAAAAGCCATTTCCATTGCTATTTTAAACACAAAACAAAAAACAGTTTCTTAAATTGAATTGCTCAGTGAAAGTAAAACAAGCTCAACAAAATTAATTTTAATAAAACGGGGAGTGTATAACAAATTAAAGATTTAGAGGTTTCTCCACTTTTTTCCCAGTCCCAAGAAACACCTCCGAAGAAACAGCAATGCGTGATCATAGCATCTTCTACATTTTGTTTTGTGTCTAATTTTAAAACAATTTGCAACTTTTTTAAAACAAATTTCGAGTTTAATTTTTACCCTTCAGTGAAAAAAAAATTTTGGACACTGACTGTTAAGATTGGTTTTTAAGCGAAGTTTTTTTCAGGCAATCGGGAAATCCATAATGTGACTGCAATCATAAACACATTGAGAATGCAAATAGGAGCCAATAGTGATTACCTCCACAAATTACGAGAAAGCGTTTCATACCACGAAACTATTGTTGACAAAATGGAAACCTTTAATAGGTTCGCCAAAGCTGGCATTCACATGCCTTTCGAAGATATCCAAACGTTTCTGCAAAATTTTTTAATCGTTCCAAGTTGTGGAAATAAACCAATGTGCGGAACCAAGAGTGTGTCAATTCAAACGATGCCAGTTGAAAACGTTTTAAGGAGTTCGGTTGACGAGTTGAAGTACCATAACTGATTTTGATAGTGCAAATATGCAGAAAAGTTGAGGGTATCAAAAACTATCAGAAATAAACAATGTTAGTTTCTAAAGAGTACTATTGATTGAAAAGCAGAGTTTTAGAAATGGCGTCTCTTGTGTAGTAGTTTTAAAGCATATTTTATGTAATGCTTCAACCATGCAAAAGATTCTTAATTGTATAATTGCACTAGCAATCACGTTAACACTTATCCCATTATTCGGAAGGCCTCCATTTCTTTTCCAAATATTAGGAGATTAAGAGTCAACGACCCTCCAATTTGGTCGAGCCAATTTACCTTTCAAAAGGACACTTTCAAAGTGGGATGTGTGATTAACCAGTGTGACAAATGGCATACAGAAATGTTGCAAGTTTTGGTGCAACGTCAGTTAAGGCATGAATTCGAAAAACTGCCAATCGTTAGAATATCCACAGAAATTGTGAATCAATCCGCAAATTCACAAAACGTATACAAAGATGTTAAAAAGATGCAAGGATGTTCAATTGAGGGTGTTCAGATCTCCCGTGCATCATTATTTCCCCATACCCCAAACACTAGCGACGACTGTGATTTCTTCGTTAACAGCTGCGGCGCCATCGACATTTCCTGCGAGTTTAAGCATTCTTAGAGTCTGTGGGGCTTGAGATATGATGAACGAATGTCTCTAGATTTACTATAAACTCCTTGTGAAATAAAAGTTCAATTTATATTGAAGTATTTTAATTATCAGTTTTATCTATCATCAAGTCAACATCACTGGGTTCTTTTGTGCACTCTTTTTGAACTCAAAAATACCATCGCTTCCATTCGCAGTTAAAATATGAAGGTGTTTTATTAATACTTCTAATTGTAATTTTGAAAAGAAGGATAGCCGGTTACTGTGCAAGCAGCATATAATGTTCCGACCATAGTCATAGTCTTAAAAAATACAACTTGAATGCTTTCTGTTTGCAAATTAGCGTTTTTTTCGGCGTTGCTTTTTTTCGTCGTCAGATGAAAGGAGGGCTGAATAAAAAACTAGAGACTAGGCATATTCGACAATCACAACAAAAAATTCAACTTGAAAAAAAAGTTCGCAGAAACATGACTAGGAAAGCGAAAAAAAATCGCAAAAAAAAATTTAATTTTTTTTTGCTGTTTTTTGAATTTTTGTGAAGTTTTTGATTCCAGAAAGGCGCTAAAGTACTGAAAGAACTAATACTACCCAAGTATAACTAATTTTTTTTCGTTTTAAATTAGGCTACTGTAAGCCTTTAAGCTATTGAAATAGGCTATTATAAGCCTACTCGCTCGCTTTATTGGCTCGAATTAAGACGGAAAACCAAAAAATTCGGTTTTCTCGACATATTGGGAATGTTTTTGAAATTTCTCAATGTCGTTCGAATCACGACCCTAAGAACTCATTAAGATATATCCCTCTACTGTCTCCGATGATTATTTGTGGTAGCTGATTTTGCGTGGAAATTTAAAAAAAGAAAAAGAAACTAAAACACGCAATTTTTCAAATGATCAGAAAAAAATCAAATAACATAGCAAAGTCTGGTCAGAACAAAAATAACAAAGCAAAGCGATTTTTTTAATGTCAAAAAAGTTTCTGTTGGAAACGAGGTCAGCTAGATAAAATCAATTCGTCCAAACAAGCAGATTACACTCACAATAACGTTGAAAAAGAGTTAAAGTTAAACGGTCATTTCTTTAATTTGATTTTTTTTCTTTCTCTTAAGTAAATTCTGTTGAGAAAAGAAAAAATCAGACCAAGTTTTCAAAACAGATCATTGTCTTGTCTTCTTTAGAAACCAAATCACGAACAGTATGGCTTACTAAAAACACGGTAGACACTCTACAAAACGTCCCAATTCCTGCACCACAGTTTCTTTTCATTCCTTCTAGAGCAGCGTCAATCCACAAAAAAATCAATCAGAATCGAAACTAATTTTTCTAGTTTTACAGTTTATAGTTTTGCAAATTTTTCAAGTTACACAGAAACTAAATTTTAGAACTACAAAACGAAAGTGAGAATTGTCAGCCTGTACAACCTTTTAACACGCCTTATTAAAAACGCTGACCGCGAGAAGAAACAATTTTTGAGTAGTTGATCACCATGTGCTTTTGATAGCTTAAAAAAATTGACGCTCTCAAAACAGTTTATACACCATCTTAACATTTTGTTACAGTATTTTGTAACAGAATTTATTTTGTCTGAATATTTTGTTACAGAATTTGAAAAAGGCACTTTTTTGTAATTCAAACAAATTGGATAGTAGTAAATCGTAATAAAAATTTTAAAATTTTTTAAAAATTTTGTAGCAAAAGTATCTATGTTACAAACTTTTTTGTCAGACAAGTCAAAATTTTACTCTTTTTTAAAAGAGAAATTCCCTATCTTGTAACATTTTTAAAGCTTATTTTTGTAAAAAGTTGTAAGGTTTTTCTAGAAAAGTTCTAAGATAGCGACTTTTGCATAACCCGCGCTTTTATGAGCATTGAATCATTCAAAATTGTGCAAAATTTGCACTTGAAGCTATGTAGTAAAGCGTTTCAAATGTCTTTTCTCTATGGTTTTAGGTTTGATCACAGTCTTCACATGGATCACACAATTCAATGAAAAACTGCAACATATTTTTAAACGTCTCTTGTTTTGCAAAAGATGTAGTCATAGTTGCAAACAACTTGACAGTTTTGTTGAATCTATTGAAATTTTTTGTGCGTTTAGTTGGATATATAAAAAAAAACAAATCTTGATATTTCGTTGTGATGTAAGGTGAGGCAACAGATGTTTGGAACGAGACTAGCTTACTTCCTGATCTCTGCATTAAGTTACCTTAACTAGAAAAAATTAGATTGCAGATGAGTTATTTTGCGTGCATCAACGATTCTCAGCAAAATAGTGTTTATTTCCTATGTTTGACTGAGTATAATTCTGGATTGACCCAAATTGCTAATCATACAATTTCTGTTAATAAAAAAGATATATCTTAAAATCTCGATACAAGTCCGTACACCAAAAACTTTGCTTGAAAATAGCATTTTTAGCAGTTTTTTTATAAAAAGAACTTGCGCGACAAACCATTTTCTAAACATGGAAATGAATTATCAGCCTTCTTTCCATCTACAAAGAACAACGAAGTCAGGCAAGCAAAATTAGAAAAAAGTTAGAAGCTGGGAAGAGAAAACACAACGGAATTACAAGACTTATTGCAAAAATTGGAACAACATTTGAAAAAATGACACGGAACTGAACTCTTACACGCGTAAACAAAAAATTGAAGAGTGTTAAATCCCAACCAAAACCTTTTTGAAATTATGTTAATAAGAAACTGAAGTCAACCGTGACGATACCTGCACTCAAGCTAGGAAAAAATGCATGGGCAAGACCTGATAAGGACAAAACTGAGACCCTATCAACCTTTTTCAAATCAGTTTCTACTATAGAAACGCCAGGCGACTGGGACGTTGTAGAAAGTCAAGAAAATTCAAAAATCAGAAGAAATTTTCCTTACTGAAGAGATAACTTCGAAAGAAATTTCTGAGCTAGACAATACAAAATCAATGGGACAAAATAATCCGCACCCACGGATTCTCTATGAAACTCGAAATGAAATAGTCAAAACTTGGACTTTAATATTTCAAAAATCTTAGGAACTTGGTGAAACTCCTGAGGATTAGAGACATGAAAATATCACGGCGGTATATAAGAAGGACTCAAAGAACGATCCAAATAATAATAGACCAGTCAACTTAACATCAATATGCTGCAAAGTGTTAGAAAAAGTTATAAGGCTGCACATGGTCTGTTACTTTAGTATGAACAAAACTATATCAAATCATCAATTTGGATGTTTACCCGGCTGATCGACAGCACGTCAATTGATATGAGTACTAGACGACTGGACTGCAGAGTTAGACAAAGGCTATGGAGTCGATGTTATTTATATTGACTTTCAAAAAGCTTTTGATAGTGTCCCCTATAGAAGACTACTGAACATTATCTCCAGATATGGAATCAGAGGCAAAATTCTGGGCTGGATAACTGCTTTGTCCTTCAACAGGAAACAGCGAGTAGTAGTGGACGAAAGGCACTCAGACTGGGTTCCTGTCAACAGCGGAGTCCCTCAATGATTGGTACTAGGAACAAAACTGTTGGTACTGTACATCAACTCCATGAGAGACGGAGTCACCTCAAATATGCTTCTTTATGATGATGATGCAAAAGATCAAAAACCAATTGCAACCAATGAAGAAAAAGACAAACTGCAGACTGATCTGAATCGACTGGTCCAAAGGAAGTTTGATAAAAATTAGTCTATCAAAGTACCACAAACTATCACTATCAGGAAGAACGAAAACGACAGAAAAACTTATACATTGGATGGCAAACCACCTTGACCAATGTAGAAAACCAGAAAGACCTGGGGGTCATCCTTGACTCCAGATTACTGTTTCGAGAACATATTGCTAAGAAAAAAAAGTTAGCTAAAAATATTTTTGAACTTAACGGAGAAAATCATGGCAACTGTCTGCAAAACATTGCTGAGATCGCATCTGGTATACACCAATCAGTCGTGGAACTCGTTCCTGTAAAAATACAAAGAAGCGATTGAAAATGTTCAGCGAAGGGTAACCAGATTAGTCCCAAGCTTAAGCAAATTAGGTTACTATGAAATATTGAAAATTTTGCGTGGGCGTATGACAGAAGCGCACAAATCTTGAATTGTTTTTATAATGTAACAGCAATTGAAGGAATGCTTACAATAAATGAAATAAATTCTTGTGGAAATTCACGGATTTGTTTACAAAGTAGCTTCTTCACTATAGCAGCCATAAACTACTGGAACTCACTACCAGAAGCTGTAATTTCTAGCGTTTACATCAATTTGTTCAACTCAAGGCTGGATAAATATTTATGATATACCCTTTCTCGAATGATGAATTGGACGTACATAGAAGGAGCTGATCGACAGAGGTGGAGAATCCTGTAGATCCGAAATTACCTGTGCACCTGTATAAAGTGAATCGTGTTACGCAATTGTTTGACCACCACAAGAAGGTTTACGCATGGTCCCACGTTAAACATATGCGTTTTTTTGGGCGTCGATTAAAAACACCGAAAGCAACATGCTAGAAAAGAGTCAAATGATACACAATTTTATTAATTTATAGGAACATTTATCATGAAAAGAGAGTTTTGATTTGACAAACAGTTAGCGCTCACCTCAAAACTAACACTTTTCTGACTTTTTTGACTTTTTGTCACAGACTGATTTTTGTTAAAGTTTTTTACCGACTGCGTGTATTTGTGGGGTCTTCTATAGATCTATCTATAGTGTAGTAGTCCAATCTTACAGTGTTTCAAATTATCTTTATTAAAGGAAAAACTTTACAATTTTATAAGACTGTAGTCAATTTCAAGTTTTAGCATTCCTGCGCGCGTTTTCTACGTCATTCTTGTCGAAATTAACTCTGGTGTCCGTTCTGCTTTTAGACAACATTCTAAATAGACATAGGTCACAGACAAATTATATATTAACCAATCAGAATCGAGTTGTGATTGGTTAATAGTACTGTCTACTTTATGACCTGTCTATTTAAAAGGCTGCTTACTTGTTGCTATGTATTCAACGAAATTGTTGCTAATGAACTAACAGCTACTAGCGTTTGATAAAGGTGTATTTTTA